TCATTTAATAATATCATTATTTCTATACGATCATCAATTGTATATGTCTTATAGATTTTAATTCATCATTTATTAATTGCCAACATGTACATTAGATTTTCGAATATCAATTACAATCATGATACTTTTGTATCAATAAAATAAACTTAACTACGTAAAGATCGGTTGTCAGTTCATGATTGTTTTAATTGATCATTTAATATAATTGTTAAAATCATTATTATTATTATTCATTTTGTTTTTTATTATTTTTTTTTGTTGTTTTGTGTAACAGAATAATTTCCATTAGTTAGTATACGAAAACATTGTGAATTACAAATTTATAATCAAGTAATGAATGTTCACAATTTAATGTAAATAAACATGTCGGACAAAATATTATTGAAAAGTTTCGTTGTATTAATTCATTAAGACGATCATATATAGAATCAAATTCAATCGTATATTCATTAAGTAAATCGTGAAGTGAATGTAATTTATAACTACATATTAAAATTATATTATTGAGTAGATGCATATATATGTAATATCAATAAAAGAATGTTCGATATTAATCAATAATTAATGTTGAAATTAGTACTATGAAATATTTCGATCGTATGAATATGAAAGAGCATTCATAACAAATGTATGTTCAATTTGACTTGTTATAATATGTTGAAGTTTATTTAAATTTGATTTACGAATTCCACGAATAGCTAAATTATTTGATTCAGTACCACCACTTGTAATTATAATTTCATTTAAATCAATTATTCGTAGTTGTAATATATATTCGGTGATTGAGATTGATAAGAAGAAAAATTGACTATGTACAATATTACACGTTAAATAATGTTGCTTGTGTATCATTCGAAATGGTTCATGGTGATGGTTTGTTGTTTATTAAACGATGGTGGTGTTGTTGTTTCAATTTGCCAGAGATTGTGATCAATCTAAATAGACTAAGAAACAGTGATTCGTATTTATGTCACCTTTCCGCTCCGTCGTATTGGTTGTTTTGTTTATCTGTAGTTGTCGTTGTTGTTTATTGTTGATGGAGTTGTTTATCGATTTAATGCTTGTTTTTTTATATTTATTTTTATGTTCATTTTATTTTATTTTGTTTATTTATTTTCTTTTTTTTTTTTTTTTTTTTTTTTTTTTTTTTTTTTTTTTTTTTTTTTTTTTTTTTTTTTATTTTATTCATTTATTATCTTTTTTTTTTATTTTTTATTTTATTTATTTATTATCTTTTTCTTATTTTTTATTTTATTTTTTATTTTATTTTTTATTTTATGTTTTATTGTTTAGGTTTTAAATGTTTTATTCTCTGTTTTTTTTTTTTTTTATATTTTCTTTTGCTTACCCCCCCATCGTTTTTCGTACTGTTCTCTCGAGAAGTAGTTGATTTTCATTTTTTTTTTTGGCTTCTTCTTCTTTAAGTGCTGATTTTAAACCAATTAAGACTTCACCTTTTTTTCGGTTAATGGTTAATTGATGACTTGTATATATTTGATCTTCGACCAGTTGTGCTCTTATTTTCTGGTAATCATATTTATGATATATCGGTCTTTTAATTTTATGTTGGAAGTCGGGTCGGTTTCGTTGTTTCCATTTTAATTTCATGTTTTTTTGTCGTTGCCGTTCAGACTTTGATAGTGTTGTGGTGGTTGTTTGTGTGGTTGTTGATTGCTGTTGCTGTTGTTGTTCATTCGAGTTAAGTTCATCAAGTTCTTGTGCTGTTGTAGTTATTATTAATTCATCTTGTGAATAATTTGATTGACGTGGAGCATATTCGTTTTTATTAAACCTTGGTTTTAATGATGTAATTAATTCGTCTTCCATTATGTCGGATAATTCATATAGAAAATTTTTTGTAATATTTGTTGATGTTATTGTTGGTGCTGGTAATGTAATTGTTTGTGTTGTTGCTGGTGGTGTTTGAGGTGTTTGTTGATCATTTGATTTGCCTGGATACATATGGAAATATAATTCAGCTACTGAAGTACAATCATTTGTTGCATATTGTACCATTTTAAATCGTTCTTGTTTTTCTTTTTGTTCATCATAATTATGTCGACTGAATAACTGTTTCTTCCATGTGTTTAATTTTAAATCAAGACCACATTGCCACCAGTTTACTGTTAATGATTTGTCGAGAAATTTCTTAAATGTTACTTCGATTGCTTTTTGTAATGACCATACTGTTGCATCATCATAAGTTGTTGAATCTAATTCTTCGTCACTTCCATCCATTTCTTCATCATCGTCTGTATCATCAACATCACGCTTTTCCATTTCTGGATGCGTTTTTTGTTGTTCGAAATACCATGATCTAAACGAGGATTGTAAATTAGTATCTTCAATATTCTTACCTATATGGTTAAATTCCAGATGTAAAAATTCTTTGAATTCATCTTCTATTGGACCCCATGTAATAATTTCATTGTAATTGCCGAATATTGTTGACCATAATTCCTTTATTTTTTCATATAAAATTGTATGTCGATCAGGTAGATAATTTGTTTCAATTAGTATTATTGTCGAATAATTGATTGAGTGTATGAATTGTATTTGTATTAATGCATCTTTTTCATGTTTTTTATTTTTTGCACCTTCAGTATCGAGGGTGTATCGTTTTGTTTGTTGTGCTTTTTCAATTAATTCATTTAATGTGTCCAGATTCGATTTATAATGGATGTGGATGATGTTGATATCAGATGAAGGTTGAAATGATGGGTATTTTAATTTTAATGCTTCATTTTTTTCAATTTTTCTGGTATGCTTTCGCCAATTTCGTTGTTGTTTTGTATTTAGTTTATAATAATGTTGTGGTGGATGAGATAAAGATCGTGTTGAAGACATAGTAATGTATCACTAAAACGAAAATTACGTAAGTTATGTTTACATACCATAATAAAATAATTTCTTCGCTAAGGTCATTTTCTTTGAGGTCAATTTTTCTTTCCTTTGTATATATAGATGCTCGATTATTATCCATATATAAAATTTTCTTTTTTTTTGTATATAACAGGTGGTTCTATTGTCGTCCATATATAAAATTTTTTCTTTCCTTTGATGTGGTCATTATGTATATATCATGTTGGTGCTATGATTATAGTAAAGTTATCGATGTGTAACACTTGCGTTCTTCGTTGCACCGTACAGTCCGGCCGGTATTGTACTAATGCCTCGATTATAATGCACTGTGATTGGATGATGAGTCATCGCGTATCATGTATTTATCCAATGAATGAAATAAATAAGATAAAATGTATTAAATATAATGATTGTGTTAGACAACCCCTCCTTGTCAGTGAGAAGGTGAAATTCTGTCTCCCCGACATGGACTGCTGAATCAAACTCAATCATTTTAATTTAATTAAATGAATAATAATAATTAAATTTTTCTTTTTTTTTTTTTTATACTTTACTAGTTATACTATCATGTCCCACATCTTTCCCTTTTGGGATGTGTGTTATCGAATTAAATTCCATCGTTCCACCAAGGGAACGATAACATCCATTGTTACTTGTCTTGTTAATGTTAATTTTTTTACATGTTGAACGACGAATGTTTTATGCCCTAAGTGTTCAATAATTTTAAATGGACCTTCATATCGTATATCAAATTTATTTCTAACATTTCTTGTTTTTACTAAAACTAAATCATTAATTTTTAATAATAAATCTTGTCTATGTAAATCATATCGAGCTTTATATTGTTGTTGATTTTTTATAATATTGTTTCGAGCTTCATTTACTAATTTTTCGAGATATATTCTAATTTTTTGACTGTGCTCTGGATCTTGTGTGAGCGAAATAATTTCTTTTTGTTGATCAAATGGAAGTGTGACTTGTCTTCCATGCATCATTTCGAATGGTGTTTGTTTTGTTGTTGCATGTATTGATGTATTATAATTAAATGTAACAAATTGTAATACTTCATCCCAGTCTGTACGTCGTTCATTACATAAAGCGGCAATTTTTCCATCCATAGTTGCATTGAATCGTTCAATTTGTCCATTTGTCTGTGGATGATATACTGTAGAATAGAGATGAGTGACTCCAATATTTTCAAATAATTTGTTCATAACTTGAGAAGTAAAATGAGTACCATTATCGGTTAATATACATGTTGGAGTGCCATATTTTAATATAACATCGTTTATAAGAAATTTCACTGCTGTTGTTGCTGAGCAATCTCGAACAGCTTTTGTGATAACAAATTTTGATAATACATCTGTTAGAGATATAATGTATCTATTTCCTTTTTTTGATGTTGGAGTTATTGGACCATGAAAATCCATACTTAATAATTTCCATATTCCTTCTGGTGGTGGTATTGGTTTTAATTTTCCTGGTAATTTTTGACGACGATAATTATTTTGTGCACATGGTAAACATGAATCTAAATGATTTCTAATATCTGCTATCATTGTTGGCCAATAATAACGTTCTTGAATTTTTCTTATTGTTTTGTCACGTCCAAAATGAGCTCCATTAGCAGGTGTATCATGATAAATTTTTAATATATCAGCACGTATTCGTCCTGCTGGAACGTATGGCACTGGTGGGAGTGGTAGTTGTTGTTTTCTAAATAATATTCCATCTTTAATAAAATATTGTTTTTTATTCTTACTCTTCATTTTTATTTCTTGAATTATTTTGTCTTCTTCTTGACATTTTCTTAAGTCATCCATATCAAATGGGATGATCTTATTTGGATTTTCATCTGATGGTTTAATTATCAGTTCTTCATCAGTCGCTACTTTCCCTTGTGGGATGAGCTCATTAATTTTTTCATTCGTCGGTTTAATAGATGGTGTTGCCGTTGCTTGTTGTTGTAATTTGGCTTGAGCTCTAGTAATTGCTGTTGTTATTTTTAATGGAATCAAATTATTATTTAATGATGAAAATGATAAATCTGTTTGTGTTGATGTTGATTCATACTGAGTTCGTTCTTCAATATCTTCTTCAGCTATGTCGACTGGTGATCTTGAAAGATAATCTGCCATATGATTTTTCTTACCTTGAATATGTTTCACCTTAAATCGATATTCAGCTAATTTTAATCGCCATCGTTCACATCTTTTATTTAATTGTTCTTTGTTTGCAAAATGAATTAATGGTTCATGGTCAGTTTCTAATATAAATTCGTGTCCACGAAGATATTTGTCCCATTTTTCTATTGCTTGTACTATTGCATAACATTCTTGTTCAATTGTTGGCCAATTAATTTGTGTTCTTGTTAATTTCTTTGACATATATGCTAATGGTCGATCACCATTGGAAGTAATTTGTAATAGAACAGCACCAATTCCATCTACAGAAGCATCAGTTTGTAATTTAAATGTTAATGTATCATCAGGTAAATCAAGAATAAGATCAGTTGTTAATATTTTCTTGAGTTGGTGGAATGCTGTTCTAGCTTCAGCAGATAATTCAAATTTTAATTTTTTATTGTTCTTTTGTTGTTGTACTGTTGTTGGAGAATACTTATGTAATGGTGCAGCGATGGTGGAAAATTTTGGAATAAATTTTCGGTAATATTCTGCTGCTTTGACGAATCTAAATGCTTCTTCAGCTGATGTTGGTTCACGTGTTTCGGTCAAACCACGGATGTTGTCTGGATCAGGTTTAATAGTACCTGCTTTAATTAAATGTCCGAGAAATAATATTTCTGCTCTTGCAACTTCGCATTTGTCAACATTTAATTTAAAATTGGCTTCTTGTAATAATAAACATACTTCTTCGATATGTTTTAAATGTTCATTAAAATTTTGTGAATAAATAATAATATCATCGATATAGGCGAGTACATGTTTCCATCTGTTTGGACCTAATATTTGATTAACAATACGTTGAAATGTTGGTGGTCCATTAGTAAGACCTTGTGGTAATACTTTAAATTGAAAATGTCCATCTCGAGTTGAAAATGCTGTTTTTGGTCGATCTAATTTGTCTAATGGTACTTGAAAATATCCAGCTTTAAAATCAAATTTTGTGAAATATGTTGCTTTTGTTAATTGGTCGTAAATATCATCAATTCTTGGTAGAGGAAAAGCATCTTTTGTTGTAATTTGATTCAAACGACGATAATCGACACAAAATCTTGTTGTTCCGTCTTTCTTTTTTACTAAAACGACAGGTGAAGACCATGGTGATGTTGAATGTTCAATAATTCCATTTTTTAATAATTTATCTGTTTCTTTTCTTAAGGTTTCCTGATCTTTGTTTGATTTTCTATATGGTGGGGTATGAATAGGACGGTGTGTACCAGTATCAATAGCATTTTTTAAAATTATATCAATTTTTGATGGTTCACTAATGTCAAATAATTTTCCATATTTCCATAACATTTTTAAAATTTGTTCTCGTTGTTTATCATCACTAATATGTTCAATTAATTTATTTATTTGTTGTCTTATTTCTTCAGGATAACATTGGTTTCTAAGATGCTTGAATAATTCATTGCTAGTATCAAAATATTGATAACATTTACGACATTGATGTTGTTTTCCGTGTGATGCTATAGTTGGTATGTTGTTACAATTTAATTTATTTGATTTGTTCGCTCCTTTCCCTTCAGGAATGAGCTCTTTACACGCTTTTCCTTCCGGAATGCGTTCTATCAAATAATTTGATGGTATGGTAACACAAATTGTAGAAGATAATTGTGTCACTATACCTAATTTGGTTCCTTCGGAAAGTGTTTGTTGTCGGTTCGTTGCATTAATTATACTAATTTTTATTCTTCTGTTTTCAATGTTCAATAATGCAGTTGCAGTAAATAATGCTTTATTTTTTAATCGAGGATTTGGTTCAAATAATACATCTATCATATTGTTATGTTGAACTTGTGCTTCTACTATTTTTCTGAAAAAGGAGGAAGAGTAATATGATTAATAAGAGTAACTGGATAATTTAAAAGAGGTGGTTTTACAAAAGGAGTTGATACTTCTTTACCTCGACTTCGGATCATAATTCGTTGTTCAGGTGTAAGAATATAAACATTGTTTGATTGAATCCAATCACTACCTAATATTAAATTCGTAACAAGATTTGTGGTAACATCAGCAATTACTGTTGTTTTAATTCCATTAATATTGATTTCTAATGGTATCTCTCCAATAATATTTAATGTTGAACAATTGGCTGATAAATGATTTTTCGTTGTTGGTGTAAATTTTTTGTGTGAAATTTTATTTAATAAATTTTGATGTATGATTGTGATGGCTGATCCTGTATCAATCAATGCTTCTTGTGGAGTGTTGTTGCATAATATGTTAACAAAAATGGGATTAAATGCTGTTGTATAGACATGGACCAATCCCAAACCGTTTGAACTCGATACTATTAAAGC